TGGATGATTTATGATTGATCTTCATATGTTTGCTTCAATTTCACTATGTATATATATATATGCCGTGATGCCAAGCAAACTGCATAGGTTCAAAATGGCACAACATCCCCATTTTCCAGGAGATTGATCTAGAGATCAAGAACTGTGATGATGGCATCCAGACCCCTCCAGTCAGTGCCAGAATCCTAGATGGTATCCCATTTCCCTGATCATGGCTTGTCATCCCGGCACCGCCCTTTTAGGTTGTGCCACAGACACCGTCGATCTTCTCGGATGCTACGCAAGCAGTCCAAACCTAAGCAAACCAAACAACCCATCGGGGTGTGTAACACATGAGCCCAGCGATGTGTGAGGCCACTGATGCGGAGCTAGCCGCTGCTCGAGGTTCTGTGGGTGATGAGCCGAAGATGGATGTCCCTCAAATAAAACAAGTTTGGGTGGTCGTGTTTGATATGACACCTCAAAATTAATATAACTTAAGTTGAATTGATTGGATTACTCGATATATTCACGCATGTATGATCTCTGTGCTGTAGGTGATGAAAAACATAGACAGACTTATAATATAGCATTACTTTATGGCGAATGCATGGTATTTATATCAATATTATATATATATACCATGCATGTATTCTGTTGGTTTATAGGTTTCATCTCGGCCTGTAAGACCACCGAGGTTGAACAACACTCAGCAACACCTGTTGCAACACCTGTTCGCAAACGGGATGCTGATGCTTCTTCAGTGGGTGGTTCGGGGAAGGGTGAAGGCGAGCCAGATGTTTCTATGAAGCCGTGTGAATCACAGGAGTCCACCCAGCCAACAGTCAAAAAACACCTCTGCCACAGCAGCCTCAGCTAAGCCTGAAGGGGTTCTAGCAGTCCCTGGTCCCAAGCTGATTGGAGGTTTGACCCAACGCCAGGCTTGGTTTTCTGGAAACTTGGAGGGTTTGTCTTTAACACCGACCAGTTGTAATGTATCAATTGGTTTTGCCATATGATTATTTCCTCCGTCCTCCGTACCAGTGTTCCACACAAATTTTATTTTGCATGTTCAATGCCCAATTGCTGATCCCCTGAAGTTCAATCTTCGAAGAGCTGCAAAAGCACGGGTGGATCGGATGGTGAAACCACATGGCAAGAGAACTTGGCTGAACGTGCCCGAGTGGCTTAGGGAAGAATGGAGAACTGGTTCAAAGGATCAGATCGCAGATGTGCTCCGGGATAGCAACTTCAATAAGGATACCGTAGAATTTTGGTTGTACTTTTGGAACGACCCTCCTAATTCCCAAGTATAAGTGTGATATATCATATCGATTACTTAATATCGATATATATATATAATATATATATGCACCTGTCAGTTTGGGATGTCAAGGGGGAGAGATATGCCGGGTATTATGATGTTGATGTTGGTCAAAAATATTTCCTCATCCTTTATAAATAAAAATTGATATGTATATTACCTCTCAGAAAAAGAACTGCATGTGCACAGGAGATGTTCATTGCAACAACGAAGACGATCATCACGAAGAAGCAAAGCATGCAGCTGAAGCGAGAAGAGGGCTGGTATTCAGCTGCGGAAATGTCTGCAGATTTGGGCTGGTCTACGTAAGAGCCTTAATATATTCAAAAAAATCATATGAACGCTAAACAAGAATGAACACAATTTCTCAAGATTCATTTCACCAAAGATCGAGATATAGATTTTGTTGTGGATTATTTGTGGTCCAGTCCAACCTCACTGCATTACTCGAAGGTCTCGGGTACAGGGAGCTGTGCAGCGATGCAAGTCCATGGCAGCTACCCACGTCAGGCATGTGGGAACATGTCTGAATCTCCTGTTTGGGAAAATGTGGATAAATCATGATGGATCAAATTGTTTCGGGTTGTTTTCAACATGCAATATGTACGTGCATGTGTATTTCACAGTGTGAACTATATTTAGTGAATCCTGATGTTGTTGCGTCTTGCCAGGCGCAATGCATATGATGGAGTTGAAGAGTTTTGGATCGTTATTCGTGAAACGGCCCTGCACACCACCGAGACCTCCTATGAGGAGCAGCATCAGAAAAATGCCAAGGCCCCCGGCATTCTTTCAAATCCTTTCCGATCATGTAGTTCAACTTCCCAGCTTGCTTCACCTGATGGCAGGCGACGGAGGATCCTACTTTCAAAGACGCTGGCATGGGGGATGCTCCTTTCGCTGGCTTGGATGCAATGCAAAAACGGGGTGAGTCTGAGGTAGCCGCAGGTAAAGCTGACCCAAATCACGACCGATATGGCCAGGCCTGGTGTTTGTATGTTAAATTGGATTAGATTAGATATATGATATTGAATACCTGTGCTGGTCTTAGGGAATCTAAGATACCCCAACTGCATGCAGTCAAACCTGGATGGATTTAGACCCAACAACTTTGCCAATGATAAAGCATATTTGAAATATTAATTGTTGTTTTCCAGATCTGTCCAATCCCTGGAAGGTTCGGGAGGATCTCAAGCGTTTCCTTGACTCCATGATGTCTAAGAGTGGCAAGTTGAGATCCCTTGTTCGGGAGTTGAATACCAACTACAGCCAGGATGCTGGAGCCATGCAGCTACTTACCTGGAAAAAAAAAACCATGCAATGCATGATGAACGATTAATCTTTTCCTGGAATCCGTTTTGGGATATTTCCACCCATACACCTCCATAAAAATTTAAAGAGATGGTTTCTCCCATTCCACCTTCCTTCCAATGCTCAGGTGCTTACCTGCCTTGGAAAAGGCAATCAAGGAGGTAGATGGGGCGTACGACGCCTGCAACGAAGCATGGGCACTGGGAGAGGCTGACAAATTCCGGAGTCAGAAGTCTCTCGATTCAAATCATAACCGCAATTGGTATACTTAGGATTTATAAGTTGTGAAATCATGTAGTATAGTCAGGTTAGCAACTGAATGGGTTGATCAGAAGAAAATCAGCTATCATGCACGCATTAGACAACTGCACTCCTAAACATATATATATATTATATCATACATCCATCTGGTCTGGGCCCGTGTGAGGTTTGTTGACACGGCGGAGGAACAGATGAAGAAGGCAACCTTCACGTGCTCACCTCATACATATATATCGATATTTTGATGGATCTGAAAGAATGGTTCAATACTGTTTGTTTTCTTGAGCTATCCCCTGGTTGAAATTGTTCTTTTTAGTTAACCTTATCCACCTCAGGTGCAGCAAAGCTCTCGCAGTTGAAAACAAGATCAGGAGAGCCGTTTTTGGGGTATCATCCACATGCCTGGTGTCCAGTCCTAACATGATCATTGATCAAGATGCGTGCTATATATTTTATGTCTTGCTGTTCTGGCATGCATTGATCCGACCCATGGACACATGTTTAAGTTAGATTGGTACTGCCGCAACACTCCAGGAACGCAAAGAAGTACTACTCCAAGAATGCGAGGGAGGTGGCAGCGCCCAAAGGACCGAACAAGGGAGTGAACAAGGGACCGACCAACAAGTCCGGCAATACTGAGCCGGAAACCACTGCAAAGTCAAAGGGTGCCAAGCCGGTCAAAAAGACCGCCAAGGGCAAGTCAAAGTCTCGCTAGTTAGTTTTCTCTTGAGAGCATGGACCACATGAACCATGCTGCGAGTGGCCAGGAACGCTTAGAGGCTTACCTAGCTGACACCTGCACACTGGGAGCATATCATATATATAGGTGTGAGTTGTATAGTATCCCATACATTTCGCAAACAAACCGTTCGAATTCGTGTTCAATCGATCTTTAGTATGCAATATGAACAATTTTAATACCAAAACCATTCATGAAAATATTTGTTTTGTATTGGGATCATGAAAAACCAGTGTGGGCGTGCAGAAGCACTGCGTTGTCCTCGGCTTTTCGGGGTCTTCTGGGATTATAGAACCTGTTCCAACGGGCAAATCCCAAATTGTCCTTGGTGTTGGCCAGAACTCCAGCACCATGAAGTGCACCTGACGGGGTGACTCAGCCGGTGTGAGCAAACAATGTTGTGCTGAAGGGGTTGGGTGAGATCACTGACCATTGAGACAGCATCATGAAATCACATAAATTAAAAAAACATGTCGGTTGATTGAGTACCCCTAGCAGGAAGGAAAGCATAACCATCATAAGATCAAACTATGACTTCAATTTCTGGGACAAAAGTTATGAAACCCTATCTTAATGAATGTCTCCCTCAGCCAGGTCAGCCTGCGGGAAATGCATTGAGAAGTTTCAGCGCTGACATTGGTCAGGGTGTCGAAGCCTCAATGGGATGGAACGAGTCAGAATATGTGAACAGAAAGATTTGACACCCGTGTATCTACAACTGCAGCAATTGGCTTAATTCATTAACTATGATCCATATGGTCCCTGCTCGTGTGCCGATGCCATCATGCAGTGTTCTCCCATTGTCGAAGATGACTGGCTAGTAGAACTTTTATCTTCTCACCGGACTGTCCCTTGATTGCATGAATTTTCATTTGCACAGCCTCTCCAGTATAAAATCCAAGTCAACTTTATATTTTATATATACTATATACTTATTATATATATATATACCCTGAACGACCAAACCCTGGAAATTCCAGCTCATTCCAACAATTTGCAAACATGTTTTCTCAAATCCTTGCAGCTGAATAGATCCTGCCAATCAAGGATGCCACGTACCCGTTTCCATGGGCTACTTCACAGACTGCAACGCCATCATCTAATGTGAAATCTTTGGGGAACATCCCTACGGCGGAGACTGGAAAACGCAAATTTGAAACTGTCAGCAAATCAGGTTTGGGTCACAGAGCAACTGCATGGGAACATCAAAAATTTGCGGAATATGTCAGCCGCTACCCCCAGATTCAGGACTTTCAGAACCAGTTGGAAGATCAATTCCCAGGGCAAGTGAGTTTTCATTTGCCACGTTTGGATGCCTTGTCTGGAACCGTTGTGCGACATTGTTCAAACTTCTTGGACAATTTGATTGAAGTCCAGGGTCCGGTGATGTTCAAAGTTGGTTTCACCCACAACCCTGTTTGGAGATGGGGTAGTCCTATCTATGGCTATACCTCGAAAGCAACAAAAGAGAAATACTCCAACATGTCGGTGATATATGCAGCTCCGGAACCTTACAGCCCCGCTATGCTGGAAGCAGCATTGATTGATAAATACAAAAGACTCTTAGTTTAATTGATGATATATATTGTCGTTGTTTTCTTCCGTGTGCTATGATGTACCCCATCCATCTGTTATTTAGGGTGCCAAAATCAAGACTGTTTTAAAAATCTATATTTTTCAATTTTTGTCTTTGGGCCCTGGCACTTCCATCCGTCAATTCCCTGTTTCGCCAAGGTACCGTTGGATGCAAAAACGAGAAGAGCGGTGGTGACACATGCAAATGGGAGGGCCAAACCTCAGGTGATCAGCTGTTTATGGTGTACATTGTGTTTAGATCTTTTAAGCACCCGCCACCTGTAAAAAGAACACGCGTTTGAAACTGCGGGCATGTTGATGCAAATGGTCTTGTGTATAGATGCATGACCTGAATGTCTAAGCCCGGCAGTGGCTTGAAGGATGTTGATTGTAAAACAACACTTGCTGAATTGACAATTTGCTCAAGTCAGAGCACTGCCTTGTGGGAGAAACCACTGCATGCGAAGCTCAAAGGGTTTAAGAAAACCAGATTGCAGATCCGTGCTGACAGTGCAGTCACTTTTGCAACCCAGCTTTGTGCATATATTATACATATCGGTCTATGTTTGTTATATCATCTCTCGGTCTCTCCCTGCCATTTATATATATATATAAAATATCGCTTTCTCTCTCTCTCTCTCAATTTGTCTCTTCTATTTTTGATCTCTGCAATCTTTATATATAATCTTTTTTTTGCGCTTTCGCTGAGGCCCCTTGCGCTGGGATCATTCGATCCGCGAGAGGCTTTGTGAGAGATGTGGGCAGGGAAGCCGCTGCTAGGTCAGGTGGTTTGCTGAAATTAGCCAGCCGTTCTGTTGGTCAGGCAGAAAGGGATTGCCACAGGCTGGTTGGTCAATATAACCTTGGCCTGCCAATTCCCAAGACGGATCTGAAAACTGGACGTGGTTTCTCAATACCTGTACTGAGACTTCGTGATTGGGCACAATTCTTGATTGATGGAAACCACTCTCATATGCTGGTCGGGCTGCGGAAGCCAGATTGGGAACGTGAGACTGCCATACTCAAGAAATTTTGGGAGCTGTTTCGTTGCCAGAATCCTGACCATCCGGTGTTCGAACAATCTCGTCTTGGCAACTTGGATTTAGGGAAAACTTTTCCCATGGTTTTTCATGGGGACGAAGGCAGAGGAAGAAAGCACACTCCTCAACTTGTTCTCAATTTCCATTCGGTGCTTGGAAGAGGTGTTCGAGTCAAAAACAAGAAGAAAGCAGGCTCTTACATCAAGATGTCTCCCAATTTCCATGGCCACTCGCTCACTACGAGGTTCTTGCTTGCAGCAGTGCCAAAGGTTCTCTACAGCTGGGACAACGATGAAGTTTGGCAAGATTTGATGCAGCTCGCGACAGATGAGGCAAATTTTATGTTTTATGAAGGCGTGCTCGATGGCACATGTCGACGTGGCAAGTTCAACATGGCTTTGCTTTTTATCTCAGGAGATTGGCCATGGCTTGCTGATTCGGGCAACCTGGCGAGGAGCTACCGCAATGTGCAGAAAAAGAAGAACCAGCAAAGACACCTTGGCATTTGCCACATGTGTGCTGCGGGCCAGACCGGCTATGACTTTGAGGAAATCAACTCCCGGCAGCCGCAGTGGCTTCGCACGATGTTTACGCTGGACTGCTTCTCCGAAGGTGGACCCCCACCATTTGCAGATCTACCTCATGTGCCAGGGCGTCTGGCAGAGCTATGGAGGTTTGATGCTTTTCATACCCTTCACTTGGGCGTGTGCAAGATCTTTTTGTCCAGTTCTTTGGCCCTGCTTTCAGAACTCCAGCCAGAATCTGCGATCGACGACAGATTCGCATCCCTCAGTGCATTGTATCTGTCATGGTGCAAGACACACAGCGAACGGCCATGGGTGAGCAAATTGACCAAGGAATTGCTCAATTGGCCAAGTACTACAGTATTCCCGACAGGAAGCTGGCACAAGGGTGCGCTTTCGACAACATTGATGAGATGGTTTCAATTTCGCTTTGAACGTGAGGGTTCCAATTGGCCTCCGATGCTTGCACGGGCTGGTGAGGCATGTGTCTTGATGAACGATTTCTTGAAGGGCCTATATGATGCAGAAGCCTGGTTGCCCGCGTCAACTGCACAAAAAATCGCTGAAAATGGTTTTGCATTTTTGATTCAATATGCTCGCCTGGCTCGGATGGCATACCTGGAAGGAAGGCTGCTGTGGTCATTGCAGCCCAAACTGCACTGCCTCCACCATTTGGTAATCTATCTCTTTGAGTCTTCTGTATCTGGACATCGCGTACTCAACATCCTTTGTTTTTCAACCCAACAAGACGAAGATTTTGTAGGGCGACCGAGTCGTCTGGCTCGTCGAGTCACCCCCAAAGTCTTGCAAAGCTGCCATCGCGTCCTGGACAGATATTTAATTGCCACACATTCGCAGTGGGTGAAGGATCGATATCTGCTGACACCAGAAGCAAGTGCTGGCTCGGTGTCAAGATGAAATTGGTGTATCTTGAGCCATTTGCTTATATATGTCTTCTATATTTTCTCTCCTATAATTATATGTGTATATATATTATAAATATATATAGTCTCCTATATAGTTGGGTTGCAGTATATATATATGTGCTTTTGTTTTTGCACTGACCCTTGCAGGCTGAGGCCGGCACTGCTACATTAGATATAGCAATACGCGTGATCTCCACGCGCTTGAGCTCAAAAATGACACATCTGTGCTGTGGGCTGGTGAGGCTGAAAATCCAAAACCCCGGGTTTTCATTTGAAACCCCGGGTTTGAAGCTAGACCCTGCGAATTTTAAGGGTTAGGTAGGTGAAGGTATGTATATACATATTTCAGCCAGTTTTTTGCAAGTATATTAATATCATGGTTCTATATACCCCATTTACCCTCTAAATGTTAACTTCATATAGACCCTGCCCTTCATCGCGCCTCAGATTCGTTCTACAAAATGGGTGATGCTCAGGGTCTATATATGTTACCAGAGGGTACCCTCTGGTAATTTAACATAGCTATTGAAAATGGTGATTGATAGTGGATTTTCCTATTAAAAATGGTGATTTTCCATAGCTTTACCAGAGGGTACCAGAGGGTAACTTGTGAGGGTTTCTCAGCCACTTCCCTTGGGCTCAGCCTCCTAGGACCTCGGTGACGCTGCCCCTGTCCGGCTTCACGGATTACTGGGACGATGCCACCGGGGAGGCCATCAAGACCTGCCAGGAGAACAAGATCTACTGCAGCGTGGCGGATGGGCATGGCTGGTTCAATGTCCAAAATGGGAATGGAAGATGATATAAACTCTTGATAATTTTTGCATACACCTGCATACACACACACAGATATATATATATATATATAAATATTCATACAATATATACACAATCCGCTATGATGATAGAGGAACTATTGAATGGTGTATTCCATGTTGTCCATTATCAATGGAATAAAATGGTGTGACCTCCATCGAAACCGTGTTTTTGTAGACTAGTAGATGAGTAACCTGGTGGAAATGATAAAGTGTCCATTACAAGGGTCAGGTCGGAGTAGCAGAGGCGTTGGCTTGCAACTGCTATAATTAGTCAGAAATCGCTAAGGGATGTTACAAGGACAGTTCAAGTAAAAAATAGAATAGGGATAGTGGTGGATCTGTCGGCAATAATGTTGTATACAATATTTATAGACTATCACCAGCAATTGTTTTCCTTGCTTACGAGGTTCACATTTTATGGTCACACAGATTCAAAACGGACATTTTGAAGGTGGAGCTTCTTTGGGTCATCCACGACGGTATCAAAGGGGATTAAGGCCTTGACCATCAGGCCGGTTTCCAGTTGAGGGGCTGCACATGGACCCTGATGAGGTCCGGATGAGAAGACCCTGAAGGACCAGCACTGCAGACCCCAAACTGCCCAGGTTGTCACGACACCAAACCATGGAGTCCATTGAGTTTGCAGCGTCCCGCATTGATTATTTGACCCAATCCGGTCGTGCTGAGTCCACACAGAACCGCAGATGGTAAAAGCCTTGCAAGAAGGCAAGACCATGAAAACAAACGTTGATAAACGTTTGTTCTTTTCAAAAAACAGCAACATAATATATGATGGTAAACAAGCCAATCCTTACAAGTTTAAACGGATGGTCCAAAACCTCCCATTTTGAGAAAAAATCCTTTTGCCTTGAAGAATGTCTTTATAAGACCCCAAGAAAGGACAGAAAGGTACAATCTTACCAAAATAGTGATATATATATATATAGGATGATTTATTTATATAAACTATCGTTCTATACTTTTCCCATTGTTTTAGGGCTTTATAGTATACATCAAGAATCGAGTGATTTTTTGATTTTTCTGTAATGTGCCATCAGGACATGAGGACAATGGGTTTCTGGGCTGAAGGCGTTGCGGGCAAAGTGCACCTGGAGATCAAGTCGGTGCCTAATCGAAAATGGACCACGGGCCACTGCCGCTGGTTATAGCATAGAAAAAGATGGCTGAACGGAATATCATTCAGTGTAGTATGCAAGTTATGTTGAATATTTTTTGTTGTCCTTTTCATTTTACATATTATTATAGTTGTGTAACTCATCATCTTAGTCCATATATCCATCTATTGCTCACTCTATTTGTCTATATTTGGGAAAATGTCGGGGGCCGTTCCCACATGCACACCTAAGGAATCGACATGTTGATTCCACACTAGTGCATTTCAGGTCAAGGATTTTATTGGCCATGCATAAGCATTCCTTAAATTCTGAGAGGGATGAATGCACAGAATGACGAAATCGCTGCAAGATCAATGTGCGCCGGTAATTATATAGTCATCGTGGAGCAGATAGAACATATGGGAATTCAATGGAATTCAAACAACTCATTAAAATAGAAATCCCTTGGAAATTCCATGTTGTATTGTCCATGTATTGTCTACTTCAGGATGGTTGTACAATATGCCGGTGGGCTCTTGAGCCCGGCTTGAATGATGCAGCCATCACTGAGGTGACGGCCACGGACTGCAATGCGATGGTCGTTTGAGCGGCGGAATATTGAAATGTATATATGGCTCCGATTGCATGTTTCGGATCTCTAAAGGTGGAAATTGATGGATTATGCTTGATTACACCACTCTCATCTACTTTCTGTGGCTGTTTCTGTGTGTTTTTCTGGTTAGTCGATGATGCTTGTGCCTGCTTGTGCTGATTGTCTAATGCTTTCCCAGGGGATCCAGAAGGTGTAGCTGACGGGTCTTTAGGTTTTTCGGTGCGCTTCGTCGAGCACGGTCCGTGCTTGGCCAAGCGCACCCCACGACGCTTGAACCACACCTGGGGCTCGCGAGCACAGGATGCTGTCCAGGGCAAGGCTGAAATGTCAAAATGGGGATATCCTAATATATATTTGTTTTTTCTCAAGGGAAACCCACTACTTGGGGAGTCTTAAGCAAATCCAAGAAGACATTGTAATTTCAGTGGGGTAGCAGTTTGTATGGGGATGCTCTCAATCGTTTGTAAGGATACACTATTTTATTAGTGATCCTGGCATTGTGACAGGATAATGAGAATTTTAGAGGCAATGGTCGATTCATACAGGTGCGTAGCATTTGTTTCGGGATGATATCAATTTTATTCAATTTTGAATGGCGATGATAGCAATCTGAAGGGGGTAAAAATTGTTGAAAGGATCATGATATACCATGATACACCCATTAAACTCTTAAATGGTTTTTCGTTGGATTTAGGGACGCCCCCATTTCTGGACAAACCCAAATCAGCGATTGCAGGGCAGTGGAAGCTGTGGCCGTCGATACACAGCGATTCGACTGGTGCCAGACCAAGCAGCGCTTTGTGTGGTTCAAAAAAGATGCGACGTGCCAAGATTATTATGATAGGCATGAGGTTTACGAAGCTGATGGTAAGTATATAGATTGTCCACAATATGAATGGTTTTGCAGGGTGCCATTTTATACCATGTTGGTATATGTTGGTCAACTTGGCAGCCTATCGCAATGGGAGTCTACAGTTTACATCAGTTCGCCACGTTTCTATGATTGAATTTGCGTGGCATTCACGCCACCAGTGAGGAGATCCGAGAGGGAAAGAAGGTGTCCAACATTGAACTCCTCTACCAGTCTGGTGCTGAAATTGAGATGGCCCATGTCACCGTGGAGATTCCTCCAATGCCACCTTTCCCTTATTGTTAGAATGCATGTTGTTGGTATTTGAGGGGTCCCTTATTTGGATCTGAAAAACTCAAGCTTGTGCAGGGTTCCTACCATGAAATCATTAAACAGTAGGTTTCAAGCGGCAGACGTACACCAGACATTGAACCTTGAGGTTGAATTGGGTGATCCTGCACTTCGTTGGATTTGCGGCCTTTCTGGGTCCAGCCGCAGGGAGCCTCACCAGCCTTCCCACATGTTTCTGGGTGCCATGGCTTCTGTGTGGCACCCGTGTAGCAAGCCTGGGCAAAAAGCTGAGGTCATTATTGAGCTGCCTGTGGCGGTGTATGAGCTTTTGACTCACGAAGGTACAAAGCTGTTCCATACTTTGCAGTCTCAGCTTTGGTCGCCTAAGTCCAAGTTCTAGGTTTCAACTCCAACTGTGACAAGTGGAGTCCTGTCAGTGCTGTCATTTGATTCCAGCTGTTGAGCCCCGGTTGGATTCTCCCGTTGCGAAAGGCTCTGGAAGTGGTTTTCATGTGGAGGTGTGGAAGCCCAGGGCATAGACAGGTGACCAAGCCGCTCTGATTCTCATCCAAGCCACACGTGCCTTTGGTATCCTTTGGTTGCTTTGCAGTGTTTCATGTTTGTTTGGTTGGTTCAATTCCTTATGTTATATCTTACAAAGAATCTTTCCAGTAGTACCGCACAAGGCAGTGGCGGAAGTTTCAGAATAAGAAACTTGTATATATATATAATATATGTATATAAATATATACTATATATATATATAAATATATAGGAGAGCTTGGTTGTTGTGAATCACGGATGGCAAAGCAAATCCACTGATGGACTGAAAGGTGGTTGGAGTTGTGTTTTTGGGAGTGGTTACAATGGTTGCAGTGGTCCTGCTCGGTCACCTCACCCACAACTGCTGGATGTAGTGTGGTGTAGTGCAGCTGTAGTTGTAGTTGTAGTGTAGTGGAGTCGTAGTTGTGGTGTAGTGTAACTAATGTAGTGTAGTTGCAGCTGCATTTGTGGTGGTGTCACGAGTGTTCTGTAATGTAATGTACGGTAGTGTAGCCTAGCGCAGTGTAAAGCAAAGTTGTTGTAGTTGTAAATGTAGTAGTAGTTAGTGTAGTGTGGTGTGGTGTAGTGTAG